CCACATGAAGAGTCAATTGAGGTTATCAACCTGGGTACTGAGTCAGATAAGAAGGAAGTCAGGATCGGTGCTAATTTGGAAAGCAGTTTCAAAAGTCGTTTGGTTCAGATGTTGCGCGATTATGTGGAAGTATTTGCTTGGTCGTATGAAGATATGCCTGGGTTGGATACCAACATTGTGGTTCACCGTCTGCCAACTAAAAAAGACTGCCCTCCTGTTAAACAAAAAGTTCATCGCATGAGACCTGACATGTCCAAAAATATCAAAGCCGAAGTAATGAAACAATTTTATGCAGGATTCCTAGCTGTAACATCCTATCCTCAATGGGTGGCTAATATAGTGCCACACTACAAGAAAATTGGCAGATTGCGACATGTATTTTTGTAGATTACGACGGTTAAAACCGTCGCAATTTGCTTTCCACGATGGTTGCTTTACCGTCGCAGAAGTGTGTGTCCCCAACCTATTTTGCGACGGTTACAAAAACTGTCGTTCAAGTTTAAGACGGGTTTGGAGCTGACATAATCAAGTATTGGTGACTGTTTGATACCGTCGTGACTATCTTTTGAGTTTCTTTTAATTATTGATGGCGACGGTTCGATACTGTCGTGAATATCTTTTGAAATTGATTAAATTGTTTATGGCGACGGTTCGATACTGTCATGACTTTTGTTGATTATTTTTAATTGTTGATTACGAAGGTTCGGTACTGTCGCCATGACTTTTGTTTATGTCTTGATTTTTTTTTATTTTTCTATTATATATATTTTTTATTTAAATTATTATCTATGTAAAAAATTTTAAATATAGTTTTTTTTTGTGTTATTTTTTTCTTTAAATTATTTCTTCTTTAATATATTTATTTATAGTATTATTTTTTGTTTTATTTTCTATCACTTTGTAATATAGTAAAAATAATTTCAATAAAAAATATTTAACATCAAATAAGCATTATAATATCCAAAAAAATGTGTGTTCCATAATCATGTAAAATGCGAGTTCCATAATCATGTCAAGTAGTACAAAAAACCCAAAATATATCAATTCCTAATCTTATAATAATAAGTATCATTATGCCAAAAATACATGAGAAAGTTCACAATCTAATTATCTCGATCATAGCAAAGTCTAATTTGTCCCCCCTGAAGTTCCATTATCTCCAATACAATAGCTAGACTCAGATGAACGTCTACCATCAGCGGGTGATTCCAATCCCTAAAAAAAGGTATTAAAATAATAATCTTTAAAATAATACTCATAAAATTTAACTTTAAATGCGTCAAAATAATATACCTGTCTTCCACTAAAATTATGCATTTGCATTAAGAGTTCAATTTCCTATGATGAACTCCTTTTATCTAGTTATTATGCAAATTTGTCACTCACAATAGAACCCGATGAATGATGATAAAATGTTGTAGAACCCTTAGGGTGATGATAAACAACACCAGTGCGAATGCTGGAGCTGCAATAGGCTTTGCCTAACATCTTTCCTCTGAGCAAAAGCAACATACAGTGGTTTTCCGTGAAACATGCGTCCTGTGGCATATAACATCAATTTAAATAATCAATAAGTAACATTTGCGTATCCAAAAAAAAAATAATGACATAACAGAAGTATTGGAGAATATTGTTCTAAATGGATTTGATACTTGAATAAAAATATTTTAATATGATTAGAAAATTTCTTAAAAGGAAGTAAGTAACAGTGATGTAAATTTTTTAGATCAGAACTTAATTAAAATTCAGAACATAGAAAGTAGCATGTGATATAGATCTAATCTCTCAAGTTATAATCCAATAAATATAACATAACATGCAGTATTATTGAAACATGATAGTGATCAGCACATTTTTCAAACTTCATAGTACAACGAAAACATATCTATGCAAAAAATGATTCTTGACCAAAACATTAAATCCTATCACCTTAGTGGCTTACAGATTCAAAGAAACTTTACTCACCATGAAAACTGTTCACAGCCTTAACAGCCTCATCCAGGGTAGAGAAACAGACAAACCCAAAGCCTTTGCTTTTTCCTTTGTCATCTCGCATAACTTTTGCAGAAGTTATTGTGCCACAAGCACTAAACTGACTCTTTAGTTCTTCGTCACTAACACTATCATCAATGTTCTTCACATAAATGTTTGATCCCTGAAAGTTAAAATGGTGGAAAACTAAGAAAGCTGAAATTAATTAGTCAACTGTAGGAAAAAGGGTATGGAATTACCTTGTATTTCAAGTTTTTCTCCATGCATCTTTCTGCAAACCACTGATGCAAGATCTTCTCACGTTCAACCTTTTTTTGTGCTCTTGCAACATACAGGTTCTTTGAACCTAGTTATGACAAATCAAAACCAGATATACACAGAGAATCAACATCCAGAAAAGTGCAACTTTGAGCATAAAAGACCTATGTACTAAAAAGATAAGTAAATTACCAAATTGTGATCCATTCATTGCTTCCGTTGCTCGTCTTGCATCATCCGGGTTTTCATAGTTCATAAATCCAAAACCTTTTGACAACCCCTTCTCATCCTTTACAATATCCAAGCTAAGAATTTTTCCAAAAGATGAGAACTTTTCTTTAAGAAGTGCTTCGGTAATATCTGGGTCCAAATTCTTAACGTACAAGTTTGTATATTTGGCATCAGGTTCAGGCAAAGAGCGCTCACTTTTTCTGATAAATTTCCCAACATATCTGTGAGAAGAAATGGAATCAGATTATCAAAACCAATCTTAAGATAACTAAAAGAGAAATTAACAAATTCAAAAGAGAAAACATACATATGGAACTGAAGGAAAATTTTAACAAATTCTAAAACAATTTCACATACATCTGCTTATCTCTCACAGTAGAGCCATTCATTTTCTGGATAGCATCATTTGCAGACTCCTCTGAACCAAACTGTATATAACCAAACCCTTTGCTCTTCCCATCTTCAGAGATGACAATTTTGCTAGACAAAATATTCCCATATTCTTGAAATAAATCATGCAGTCCCACATTATCTATCGATTCCGCTAAGTTCTGTAATAACATTAACACCACAAAGTTTCCATTAGAATTCACATCAAACATAAAAAGAAAACAGAATATCACCATTTAAGCATTTCACAATTCACATCAAACCTATAAACCCTATAACATACCTTAACAAACACATTCCCTTTGCCACACTCATCCAAAGCCTCCTTGAGAGCACTTTCAGCCCTATCCCACGTTTCATCATCTCCAAGCTTATTCTCTGGCCTCTACTCAAGTATTTAACACAGGCAAGGCAAAATAAATAACTGAGTCATTAAATAGATTAAACCAATTACTAACAGCAGAGTCTACCAAGCTTATCATGTACTACTATATCATGTATCAGAAGAAAAGAAAATAACAAGAAAGCTAGTTCTTTGTATTGAGGCCATATTCCCAATTATTAACTGTTCCTACTAATGTTATTTATTCACAAACTTCATCATATTTCAAACCATAGAGAAGTGTTCCTACTAATGTTATTTATTAAACATATAAACAAAACATGTACCATAGGAAGAGAAAGACTGGTAAGATACGATCAAAATGATCTATATCAGATGACGCTCTTAGAAGGAATAATTGCAACAAAGAAACAAATAATGAAATTATCAAATTAGAATTAACTTACATTGCAGACAAAACATATAGCGGCAGTTGTTTCCAAACTATTAAACATATTTATCAGCATCTCTTTTGGAAGCCTTTTTTCCATTTCAACAGAATCTTTTCCAACAGGATCAGAATTGTATTCTTTAACAAGAAGTGGGTGATCACAAGCCTGACGGAGACGTAAAAGCATCAAAAGAATATTTGCATAGTTTTGATTCACTGTACGGCAGCAGCATATGCCTGCAAATTACAAGCATTACTTTTCAAAATTACAAACATCGGAGACAGAAGGAGGAGCTTGAAGAGAATCGGTGAGGGAGTTAGGGTCATTGACGACGCCGAAGGAATTCTAGTTTTGTGTGACGCTGCCTTTTTCATCCCATTGTAGTCTTGATGTCATCTGCAAATGAGTTAAGTGCAGGCTTCAGCGTGACTTTGTAATCAATACCCATGATCTCAGCAGGCGTGGTTCCCTTGGGATTCAACACATATTGAATGTCATTACCAATCTTCAACCTAGAAGCACATGAAAGTAAGAGTTTGACCACAACTGCTCATACTTCCTATATAATACATTTTTTAACCGACTTCTTTTCCCTTTTGTTTATTTACTAAATTTTTTTTGTTGTCTTAAGAGAAGTCCTGTTTTAATTTCTTTCCTTGATAAATTGTTTTCTTACCTAAATAAGCAAAAACAAAAAAAATGACAATATACCAGTCACTTAAGTGCCATTTTTGCAGCAACATTTATTTGTCATATCCTAGTGGCTAGTGCATACTTGCTATGGTTGTCAACTCATGGCAGCAGGTGAAATGAACAAAAATGGTAATTAAAAGCAGAACTTACCGGATATCCATGTGAAAGATGCCCACCATGGGGAAGATCGAGTGCCATAATTCTCTCATGAGGTTTCAATAAAGCAGTGTAAACTTGGAAATTGGAAGGAGATCCAGATAGTGACTGTACATTGACTGTCAAAAGCAGATTATGTAATAATGTAAATAAGATTCTCTAAAAAAAACATATGATCAAAATTTGTTCACCTAAATTGCAGAGGTTAGTATTCCTTCTACTCTTATCAGCAAATCCTTGGGGGATAGAATCAAGAAAGCTCTCTTGAATGGTGAGGTTGTTCACATAAATCTTGATTGGAGAGAGGCTCTTCCGCATCCGGACGACAGAGTTGGGTATGAGTTATGGACGAATAGCAATGACAAATGCGGTCCAAAGTGTGACAATCAAATTGATTTTGTGAAGAGCTTTAAAGGTGCAGCTCAGTTTCTTGAGAAGAAGGGGTTCACTCAAAATGGATTCAATGCAGTCACATTAACCACACATTTATCCATAATCAGATTGTATTAATGCATATTCCTTGACAATCTAAACAATGTTACATAAAATGAGGAAACAATGTTGAAACAACCAACCAAAGTTTGATTTGATCCTAGCCATGAATGTGCATTTGCCAACTTCCCAAAAGTTTGATTGAACATGGTAAACCCAGCTCCATTTTCATTTGATTCACCTTTCGGACTTAGCTGTAGGCTGTGAGATGCGGAAATAGGACTGAACTCAAACCCCAGGTTCCGTTCACCAACTTTGTCAGATGAGTCTAACAAAGCACCAGCTCCAACTGCACTGTTACCATGCTTGGGCGTTTCAACCTTAATTAAAAATATAATACAGAATATCACTTCAATCAAATGCAATTCATGAAGAAGAGAAAAAAAGGTCTTTATATTTAAGCAAGCACGTGTTATTATGAAGAAACACGAAATGAACCTCTTGCCCAAAGGCCAAAAACTTAGTTTCTTAATATATTATTACTCCAAAACATAAATATACAAAATTGAAATGAATGAATACAAAATTTATACTAGTTTGTAGCATTCACGTAAGCTTCACCCAATTTACCTTAACATTGAAGTTTTCATTTACAGTTTCCCATTCCGCAGACTTGAATTCCCATCCATCATCCTCGTCGTCGTCCTCATCCTGATTCAAATCGTTTACACTCGATTTCTTCGGACTGATAGAGCCGACATTGGATTTCAAAGCTGATCCATTTTGCTGATGATACAAATTGGAAATCAAATCACTAATTCCAACGGAACCATTCGAATCAGATCCCTTTTTCACAACAGGACCACCACCGTTGGAGAAAAAATCATTGGAACTGGAATCAGAAACAGGTTCATCATCTTCTTCCTCGCCGAAGATTGAAAGCGGAATAGCTCCGCGAGCTTTGTTTGCGGTTTTCCCGAGGGGATCCGGGGAAACTGTAAATGGATCAGAGGGTTTTGAAACGGTGGTGCCATTGATATGATTGGAATGGTTGACGAAGTTGCCCCAACCGGAGGTGGAAGGGAGTGGTTGATTGGGAACGGAAGCGAACTTGAAGTCGCCGAAGTTTAAATTCTCCAATCCTGAAAACAGAACAATAACAACAATTACTTTGATGTGAATCAATTTTCATGAGTTGAAAAAACAAAGCAGAACCTGAAGATTGTTGGTTTTGACATAGGACCAAACACGCATGAAACAGGTTAATCGAGAAGTCTGAGATTGACCGACGAAGTCTCTGAGAGTGGGAGGAAGGTTAACGAGATTGATCAAGTTTGCGAGCTTTTTAGGGTTATCAGTAACGACTTTCTTCATTCGCTGAGGAAGCATTCTTCACTTCAATACACGATTTGTAATGGCTGCGAGATGGGTTTATCAAAATTCTAACTTCAGAGGAAATGTGCAACTCAATTTGTGTTTAGTTAGGATTAGGTATAAATTTAACAATAACATTGTGTTTCAACTATATATGTGAATATTATGTCAAGCTCTATGTATATACTTTAGCTCATGATAAATGATTATTTAGGTATAAACTTAAAATCATTTTTCAACATCAATTAAATCCACATATCATGTTATAAAAGTCATGTCTTTCGAGGCATAACCATAAGTTACCCTTGGTCTAGTCCTATCAGACCGTCTCGACATCTCATAGATCCTCCTCAAGCATAATACAAATATAACAAGCATTGAGAAAAAGATGAAAGATTAAATTTATTTGATTGATTAAATTGAACATAACACCATTGTCGTATCAAATTCATAGAATATATAATAATGCATAAACTTAACCTTAACAAGAGAGAACTTAAATATACATAACAATTATAATTAGATAAAATATATAAGTTAGCAAGAGATTTTTAAAGGTTTTGGGTGCGACGGTTGTTTTACCGTCGTGAAATGAATTTTAGGACGGATAATTTTACCGTCGTGAAAGGTTTAAGGGTGCGACGGGTGCTTTACCATCGTGATATGCCTTTTAGGACGGTTAATTTTACCGTCGTGACTAGTTGTTGGGGAAAAATCAATGTTAAAAGTGTTAAATGGGGGCCGACGGTTGTTTTACCGTCGTAATAATAATATTATGATGGTTAAATATACCGTCGCAAAATAAATATTAGGGACGGTTGGTGTCAACTGTCGTAAACACTGTCTCTATATGTCAATTACGACAGTTATCACATAACTGTCGCAATTTGTGTGTCGTTAAACACTAATTTTCTTGTAGTGCCAGTGCCAAAGAAAGACGGGAAAGTTCGCATGTGCGTAGACTATAGGGATCTGAATAGGGCAAGTCCCAAGGATGATTTCCCTCTACCACACATTGACGTCTTAGTCGACAATGCTGCTCAGCATAAAGTCTTCTCATTCATGGACGGCTTCTCGGGCTATAATCAAATAAAGATGGCCCCTGAAGATATGAAAAAAACTACTTTCGTTACACAATGGGGCACTTTCTTCTACAAGGTTATGCCGTTCGGATTAAAGAATGCAGGAGCGACATATCAAAGGGCTATGGTGGCTTTATTTCATGACATGATTCATCATGAAATAGAGGTATATGTGGATGATATGATCTCCAGATCACAAACCAAAGAAGAACATCTCGGTCACCTGCACAAACTATTTGAGAGACCTAAGAAATATAAACTGAGGTTAAACCCTAACAAGTGCACATTCGGAGTACGCTCTGGAAAGCTTCTAGGATTTGTTGTCAGCAATAAAGGCATTGAAGTTGATCCCGCCAAGATAAAGGCCATCCAAGAAATTCCAGCCCCCTGTTCTGAAAAAGAAATCAGAGGATTCTTGGGTCGTCTCAATTACATTGCCCGTTTCATATCACACTTAACTGCTACCTGTGAGCCACTCTTCAAACTCTCGAAGAAAGATCAGGTAGTCAAATGGAACGATTAATTCCAGATTGCCTTTGACAAAATCAAGCAATTCCTGCAAGAACCTCTTATTCTCATGTCTCCGGTTGATGGAAGACCGTTGATCATGTACTTGACAGTACTAGAGAATTATATGGGGTGTGTTTTGGGCCAACATGACGAGTCTGGCCGAAAAGAGAATGCAATTTACTACCTAAGAAAAAAGTTTACCGACTGTGAAACCAGATATTCACTGCTCGAGAAAACTTGATGTGCTTTAGCATGAGCTGCTCGCCGGCTAAGGCAGTACATGTTGACTCATACCACTTTGTTGATTTCTAAGATGGATCCGATTAAGTACATCTTCGAAAAACCTGCCCTTTCCGGACGAATAGCCAGATGGCAAATGGTATTGACTGAGTACGACATTCAATACACAAATCAAAAAGCCATCAAAGGAAGTGTACTAGCAGACCATTTGGCCCATCAAGCTGTGGATGATTATCAGTCATTGAACTTCGACTTCCCTGACGAGAATATTATGCTGGTAACCGATTATGCAAAACCTAGACTGTATGACGTACTTGAACAAGGATCTCGATGGACTATGGTATTCGATGGGGCTTCCAACGCCTTAGGTAACGAAATTGGTGTTGTGATCATCTCTCCTGAAGGTTGCCAGACTCCTTTTACGGCCAGACTATGCTTCGATTGTACAAATAATATGGCCGAGTATGAAGCATGCATCTTAGGTCTAAGAGCTGCCATTGACTTAAGGATCAAGCATTTGGATGTGTTTGGGGATTCCTCTTTGGTGATCAGCCAAGTAAAAGGAGATTGGGACACTAAACACCCTAATCTTATCCCTTACAAGGAGTTGGTGCTATCCCTAATTCCCTACTTCGAAGAAATCACGTTTGAACATTTCCCTAGGGAAGAAAACCAGTTGGTAGACGCTCTGGCAACCATGTCCTCAATGTTCAAAGTCAGATGGGACAACGAAGCCCCTATGATTACAATCGAAAAGTTTGATGAACCTGCGCATTGCTATGAGCTTGACACCAATACAGAAAAGCCGTGGTACCATGAGGTAATGAGATACCTTGAAGCACGAGAGTATCCAGAGGGAGCATCCATCAATGACAGAAAATTCTTACGAAGATTTGCAGCCAAATTCTTCCTAAGTAATGGGATATTGTACAAGCGCAACCATGATTCAACTCTACTCCGATGTGTGGATAAGAGAGAGGCAGAGAAAATCATGGAAGACATGCACGATGGCCTTTTGGTACTCACTCAAGTTGGCATACAATGGCTAAGAAAATCCTAAGAGCTGGCTACTATTGGTCAACGATGGAGGCCGATTGCTATCAAGATTCAAGAACTTGCTACAAATGCCAAATTTATGCTGACAAGGTCCATGTACCTCTGATCCCTCTGAATGTCATGTCCGCTCCGTGGCCATTTGCAATATGGGGTATTGACATGATCAGAGGGATCAAGCCTACAGCTTCCAACAGACACCGCTTCATTCTTGTTGTTATCGACTATTTCACAAAATGGGTCGAAGCCGCCTCATTTGCCTCAGTCACCAAGAACATGGTAGCCAGATTCATCAGACACAATCTCATCTGTCGTTATGGTATCCCCGAAAGGATTATCACCGATAATGGGACTAACCTCAATAATGCCATGATCAGGGAACTGTGCACTCAATTTAAGATTAAGCATCACAATTCTTCTCCATATAGAATAAAAATGAATGGTGCAATCGAAGCAGCCAACAAAAATATCAAGAAGATTGTGCAGAAATTGGTAGTAACCTATAAAGATTGGCATGAGATGCTACCATTTGCTCTACATGGCTACCGTACTTCAACTAGAACATCAATTGGGGCAACTCCCTTATCTATAGTCTATGGCATGGAAGCCGTTTTGCCAGTGGAAGTTCAAATCCCCTCACTGAGAATTATGATTGAGGCAGGCCTAAGTAAAGACGAATGGATTCAAACGAGATTGGATCAGCTGAACTTGATCGATGAAAAGCGATTGGCTGCTATCTGCCATGGTCAGACGTATCAAAAACGGATGATCAAAGCTTTCAACAAAAAGGTCAATCCTCGAGTATATCAAGTTGGTGACCTGGTGATAAAACGCATCATTTTACCACAAGGTGACCCCAGAGGAAAATGGACTCCCACCTATGAAGGGCCGTTTGTCGTCAAAAGAATTTACTCTGGCGGTGCCATGATACTGACCACCATGGATGGTGAAGATTTCCCACATCCTATAAACGCGAACATAGTTAAAAAATATTACGCATAAGAGACCCGTTAGGTTGACACACCTAAGCAAAATCAGGGCATCCCGGCAAACCAAAAGGTTTGGGCAAAAATTAGGGATATATACAAAAGATTATACACCCGACAAGTTCAAAACCCGAAAGGGCGACTTGGGTAAAAAAGGGTATCCTGGTAGACCGAAAACCCAAAAGGGCGGTTCAGGTAAAAATTAAGGATTAAAAGCGTACGACTATGTCCTGTGAAATCAACACGGTCAATACTATCACCAAGGTCCAAGTTCAAATGGTCCAGGATCAATCCAATCAACTTCGATCAACGGCAAGGGACATTCAAAGACATGGGGGCAATAGTAGAGCTGAAAGGCAATGAGATCATTTCACATGGCTATTTGTTTTTCATTCTCAATTTTCTTTTCGACGATTTCCTCTTACTAGGATTTCCGTTTCTATGTACAAAAATGCTTGTTCATGGACAAAATATCAACACAAATACACTTTGAGGTGCAAAATTGTCTGTCTCTGTTTTGAATGCAAATTTGTCCAATGACTAAAATTGAATGAATATATGCATATGAACATAATTAAAGCTATTTGGCTCATTGTGTCCTGCCAAGCAGCAACCTCAATAGGGCATCAGTGCACAACTGCAGTAAGCATCCCTTTAATGAATGTGAAGTAGCCCCACAGAGTTATCTCACCATCATTATCCCCACCGGGGCGTTGGCAATAAACCTTTCCCCAACGGAGTTGCTTACAAAATTTTCTTCACAAAGGACAATCCTTGGCCAGAGTCTCAATCTCTTAACAGCTTTTTCCAGCTAAAGCCTAGGATATCTCTTCCTAAAGGGAATCCACCTCATCAGCAAATTTTATTCCCCACAGAGTTATCTCGTCATCATTATCCCTATCGGAACAACCCCAATGCAACCTTTCCCCAACGGAATTGCCTACAAAACTTCTTCACAAAGGATAAACCCCCTGCCAGAGCCTCAATCTCTCGACAACTCCCAACAAATTTGAAGCCTAGAGGTCTCTTTCTAAAAGAAATTCATCTCCTCAGCAGGGTTTATTTCCCCAACAGAGTTCTTTCGTCGGGCCAAGTGCAAATTCCTCAACGTACAAGACACCCTGATTTCCCCAGGCGAGTAAGC